ACGTCGGGAAGTGGGGGTGGGCATCCGGGTACCCGCGCCTCCTCCAGGGCTCCCTCGGGGAATGCACCCCGGCCGCCCTTTCCGGGGACGGAATGCACGGAGTTGAGCTTCGTGGACGGCCCTAGATACTTGGCGGGGGGGGGGATCCGCTGACGGTTCGGTGGGGTTGAGCTCCGGCCCCCCTCCCTGCACCCCACCCCGTACCTCGCGGAGGCAGCCGCCCGCCACTCGGGACCGGCGTCCTGTCGGGTGAGCGCAGGTAGCACCGGGGCGGGCGGGAGTGGGTTTCCCACCGAGGTTGCCCGCCCGCCCTGGGCGCCGAGATCGCGCGTGGCTGCGCCCTGCGTTCCCTTCCCCCTTCCCCGGGAACTGGCTCTGCCTGGAGTGCCCACCGGATGGTGACCTCTCCGGGGCCGTCAGGGTGGTGGGAGGTAAGTGCATCCGTGATGCTCTTGGTCTTCTTTTTCTCAATCATTTTTCCTACAGAGCATTGTGACTTAGGGGAGTGAGAAGCTTTTTTGAACCTTTTATTGAAACTCTTTTTAAGTTATCTAAGCTGGATAGAGATGATTTCCCAACTGCCTTTTGGTTAGATTATTTAGAAAGTGCTGTCAGCCCTCAAACTACAGATTGCCAGATGATGTCATGGGACACCCTCCCTCCCTCCTTCACTCCCCTCCCCCCTTCCCTCCTTCCCTTTCCACTGTTTGTACTGGTGGTTATGATTCTGGTTACTTTGGAATATAATAAGGAAAAAGAAATTAAGCCCTGATTTTGAGGTTTTTTTGTTGAACATAATATTTAAAAATTTTCTGGAAGTTTGCTTCGATGTATTTAAAGATCATGACTTGCCGTGCACGACGAAATAGTAAAAGTTTAGGGACTATTATTCATCTTAAAATTCCTACTTGCAATTAGTTGCTTAAAACCTCCCTCCGAAATGACTAAGAAATAACTAAAATAGCTTACTCCTCTTTAAAGAATTAGTATTGGAATAACATTTTGAGTAATGTTTCTCAAAAATATGTGAGGTCTGTGACAACTTGAAATTGTTTTTTAAAAACCAATGGACCCCGATGGCACACATTAAAAAATTTAGCTACAATCGATTGGTAAATTGGAACTGAAGAGGGATTACTTTGGGAGATGCTTTGAAGGAATTTGTTACCCAACTGTTTGTAGATCTGGTTCCTTCTGTTGTTACCCTAGGTTTTTAGAGTTTATTATATAGAACGGCCTTACTTCATATTTTTAAGGTGGCTGTTTCAAAAAAAAGTAAATATACGTGCTAACAGACACAGTTACATGAATGGGCTTAGTTTTTGAAGCAAGCATTCCCCCCACCAAATCTATATATATCTCAGTGTGTAACTAAAATGGAAGGTTTAAACTAAAATTTTTCAGAAATTGGTGCATTGTGTAGGTCTAACATCTGTTATCTGAAGCCTGTGGGCTTTGAAATTTCAAATTTTTCAGGTTTTGTGAAAGTAAACTGTACACATATCTTATATAATACCTACAATGATGTATGTGTCAGACCATTCCCCATAATCCAGCATGTTTAAAATTGCAAAACAATATATGTGTGTTTATGGTAACCTAAAAAAATCAGCCCCATATTTCAAGTCTTCCACTGAATGAGTTGCAAAACATTTTCTGTTTGAAGAATTTATATGATTTGGAATTGTAAATAAAGAATTGTGGATTTATAATTCTTGTTAAAAAGAAAAGGATTCAGAAAAACTTTTTTAAATCTTGAATTAAACTTTGAAAAGACAAAATAGGATAAGGTTGAATGGAAAAACTTGTGATTCCAAAGTGCCTACATGGTCTTTGAACATTGATACCATGTCTGTAGGTGTGTGTGTCTGTGTGTGTGTCTGTGTATGCATGTGTGCATGTGTGTATGTATGTATGCTATCAGAGAGATTTTCAAAATTCTGAGCTATAGCAATGAAAAGTCCATGTCAAAAAAGTATATGCTTAGTTCTTCCAGGGAGCAAGAAAGCAGGAGAACTATGATGATGAGTTTACCAGGGTGAGGAAGGCCTTGGTATATTGGAGGGGTTGTCATGTTGATGGAATAGAGTGGTCAAGGAGAGATCTATGTGGCCTATCAATTGTTTTTCAGCCTCCTCATGGATTAACTAGAACTCCCAGATGTTTCTTTAGGAACCTAATTGTGATCCATAACTTTTCCTTTGAGCCATTTCAGTGATTCTTCCTTTTTGTACCAGTTAGTAGCTTTATCTCTAGGTTAAGTATGACTCAATTCAAGTGATGCTGCAATAGTGGCTTTTTCAAAGTTCTATCAGTTGGGTGCTGGTGGTTCATGTTTGTAATCTTAGCTACTGAGGAGGCTGAAATCTAAGGATCATAGTTCAAAACCTCCCAGGACAGGAAAGTCCATCTCCAATTCACTACCAGAAAACCAGAAGTGGTGCTGTGGCTCAAAATGGTAGAGCACTAGCCTTGAGTGAAAAAGCTCAAGGACAGTGCTCAGGTCCTGAGTTCAAATGCCATGACCCACAAAAAAAAAAAAAGAAGTTACTGTATCATCTATATGAGAGTGTGAAAGTAATTTAGAGTGATAGCTCATGAAAATAAACAGGAGATCAGATTATGATGACCCTAATAAAAGTTGACAAGTTTACACTATCTCTGAGAGGTTAAAGAAAGGCACAGGCCTGGAAGGAGAATACTGGGAAGGGAAGCTTTCACATGATACATTCTAAGTGTGAAGGAAGACCATTTCTATCCAAAGAGGTTCCAGTCAGGTCTCAAAAGTGACTGACCAGAGTTCTTTTGGTGATATGTTAGGTCCTGATTCCCACATCTCACCATAAGTCACAGGTTTTCAAGTGATGCACAGTAAAATCTCCTGGTAACTTGAAATTTCATGAACCAGACAGGGAAATGATTTTTTTTAATTTTCCAATAAAGCTAAGATTGAAAATTTGATGCTTTCTGTGCTGAACTAGAAGCTCTTTGGGGCCAGATGCAGGAGTCTTTTTTTTTTTTTTTTCTTCAGTCTCGGGGCTTGAATTCAGAGCCTGGGTGCAATCCCTGAGTTTTTGCTCAAGGCTAGCATTCTTCAGCATGAGTCACAGCTCCACTTTTGGCTCTTTAGTGGTTAATTGGAGATAAGAGTCTCATGGACTTTCCTGCCTGGACTGGCATCGAACCATGATCCTCATATCTCAGCCTCCTGAGTAGCTAGGATTACAAGCATGAACCACCAGTGCCTGCAACTTGGGAGTCTATTTTTAACCTCAGTCCTATCCCAAGTCTACTTCACACATGGAGCAGCACTTGAAAAGGATTGGAGAAGGTACAGTTTAAATGAATGAATCACAGTAGAAATCAGTTATGGTTGAGAATTGAAGAAATGGCTGCTAAAGTAGTTCTAGTTAGAGATGCTCAAGAAGCCCTCTGAGGACTATAAGTGACAATCAACTGCTGTCGTGTAGAATAAAGAATTTAAAGGAGGACAGTACAAATTATGGGAATATTAAACTTACTAAGGTCTATAGGTTGGAGTAGAGAATCTTATAAATTTGTTAAATATTAGGAGAAAAGTGGTGAGGAAAGAGTGAATGCCCAAAGTGGGGCAGAATTTATAGAGACAAGAAAAGGATGAGTTTGGCTGCTTCTGTATTTAATCAGGTAAACAGAAAAGATATTCTGCATGGGATAGAGTACCAAGGAATGAAGTGGGTTTCAGAAAAAGCTAGAATTTATATGTCAGGGATGTGAAAAGAAATGCAAGAAGTCAGTTTAAATATTTTTATGTGTATGTTGTGTATATGCTTTATGCTTATATATGCAACCACTAAGCTACACCCAGCCCTATTTTAGATTTTTTAAAATTTTTTGTTTTTATTTTTGTTTTCCCCCTATTTTAGAATTTTAAAAGAGGTATGTGCACACACAGAAGGTCAGGAAATGGGGAGGGAAAGTGGGAGAAAAATGAGGGAAGGGGTAACAAGTTTGATAAGAAATGTACTCACTACCTTACTTATGAAACTGTAACCCCTCTGTACATTACCTTGACATTAAAATTAAATTGGAAAAATTTTTTTAAATGAAGGTGAAGAGGAATTTGAAGGAAGGCAGAAAGTGTATTGGAGTATTTGATGAGCAGTCTATAACAAAAGTGAAAACTCTGTGCACTTTTTGTCACATATGTATATAAGGAGTTAATGGAGCATCTTTACCAAAATGCAACTGCTAATTATTGGAATTTGTTATGTTTAATAATTGAACATCTGTCATCGCACTAGATGCTACAGAAACAAAACAAAACAAAAAGCAAGATTTTAAAAACTAGATCCCTGCCTCAGAGGATGCAGAACTAATGCATGAAAAACAAAGCAATAAGTGAAAGCTGCCACTAACTATAGAAACAGTTTACATTATAGGAGATCAGAGAAAGGAGATTAGTGTGTGCAGAACTGTGAAGAAAGGCCTTGAAGTAGAAGTAATTATTTTAGCTGACTGGCCATTGAAGGATGATAGGATTTGGATAGGCAAAAGAAAATGAATACAATAATCCCATGGGGAAAAAACAACAGGAACAAGACTGAAAGGGAAAAATTAGGGAGCAATAAACCTAGCCCAATGAAAGCCTGCTGGGAACTTGTGGGAGGTAAGCAAGATTGCTTGTGGTTGGAACCAGATCACTAAAGCAGAGAAGTTGGGCACTTTCCCCCCATGGTTAATGGGAAGCCATTGGAACTCCTTGAATAGAGGAACAACATAATGAAATCAGTGGTAGTATATAGCTAAACTGGAGGAGAGAAGAAGAAGAAAGTGAAGGAAAGAGCTTTGTAATTTATGCCTGAGGTGTTAAGTTTATTCACTAGAGTGGTGAAGTAATGGAAGAATCCACATAATATAGAACCTATCTGGATAACAGAAGTGAATGAGAAGGAAAATTAGTGAAGAAAAAGGACTCAGGTATTTGACACGGTTTCTTGGAGAAGAAAATTTACATAAAATGGCAGTCTAGCCAAAGGGATTTCAGGGGTGCATATGTGTAAACTTATCCTGACTAGTTGTGTTTAGAACAATCTTGTATATGGAAAATCTGTGTTCTTCATTCATTGTTACAAGCAAGAGTCAAGATGAGAAAGAATGAACATTATGATGGTGAATATCTTAAGTAATTTAATAAATGATGTATTTGTTTATGTATATGTGTATATGTATAATAATATGTGTATGTGTATAATAATAAATAATATGTATATATGTATAATAATAAATAATAGCTATTGAGTACCTACCTTGTGCTGAGGATTTCCTAGGTATTCTGCCACTTAGTGAGTTAATGGAAAAAATGGTGAAATGGCTAGTAAAGGACAGAGATTGTTTGTAATCAAGATGCTCCAATTAAAAAACTCCTGCCTTTTCCCTTACTCTGAACAAGAGTATTCTGAATATCTTGGTTATTAGAGAATGTCATCCAGCAACAAATTTGTTCAAAAAGTTGTTACCAGAATTAGCGCTACTGTGGAAGAGAAGATGTGTTCTAGAATGTCTGCTCGTTTTAATGTTATAGTGTGGAGGTGTAATTAAATTTTATGTGAAGTAAAGCAGTCTGACACAGCAAAAGCCATCAGAGTTTTAAGAGATTAAAAAAAAAAAGGAGGACTAGCTGGACACAGGTGGCTCATGCCTGTAATCCTAGCTACTCAGGAGGCTGAGATCTGAGGGTCGAGGTTCAAAGCCAGCCTGGGCAGGAAAGTCCGTGAGATTCTTTATCTCCAATAAACCACTAGAAAAACAGAAGTGGTGCTGTGGCTCAAGCGGTAGAGTGCTCGCCTTGAGCTAAAAAACGCAAGGACAGCACCCAAGCCCAGGGTTCAAGCCCCACGATTGACCAAAAAAAAAAAAGGACTATCACTATATGAATGCATACTCTGAGTGTCTGATTTTGAGTTGATTGTGAAGTCTGTCAGCATTGTTGTTTTTAAGCTATAACCATAATGCATCTGTCTGCTCATTTTTGGATTTACAATTAATCTAGAATGTTAGAACACACATTGACTGTTCGACAACTGGAGAAAAGTAGCCATTAACATTGTTAACCAGGGAACCTTTAATAATATCAAATATAGGCTGGTGTGATAGAAGCCTGTAATCCCAGCTACTTGGTGGTGGTGATCTGAAGGATTACAGTTCAGGGCTTGAGAACTCTATGTTAACCTGTGATTAGTTGCTGTTACTTGTGCCTGTCATCCCAGCTTCATGGGGAAACACATGCAGGATCATGACCCAGGCTTGCCTGGACATAAAGCCAGACCCTATCTTAAAAGTACTCAATGGGAAAAGAGCTGATGGATTGCCTCAAGTAGTAGAGCATCTGCTTGGCAAATGAGAGCCCCAGAGTTCAAACCCCAGTACCACACACATGCGCGCACACATACACACACACACACACACACACACACACACACACATATGTCAGCTATGATACTGTTATTTATAACTATTGTCCATAAAATGGGGGAAATAATACTAGGACCTATCTCATAGAATCGATATGAAATGTCAATTAATATATGTAAAGGATTCAGGAAAAAGTCCTATACATAGTAACCAATTGTAAGATTATATTATTGTTGTTTAAAAACAAACATCTATTGCTGAAAAGCTCTTGGTAAATCAGCTAGCTTTTCTACTCCTGTCCTGTGATTTTGGTACTTTTCTTCATAGCCTTTCCTGTCAAGTCTCAGGTTTTGTATGTATTGCCTTTATCAACTCATCTCTCTCCCAGTCCACATACACAACTAAGAGATGTCATGTGCTCTGAACTCTTTACAACTGTTATATATCTAGGGTCATATGAATTTCTTTTCTCTTTTCTTCTCTCCTCCCCTCTCCCCCTTTTTCTTTTTGGTAGTACTAAAGCTCAGGGCCATGTCTTTACTAGGCAAGTACTCTTACTACTTGAGCCACTCCTCTAGCCCTATGAATTTCTTTTTACAGAGAGAAAAAATAGCTTTAAAAGGTTTCTAGCTACTAAAGTAGCAACTTCTTTTGGCATTGAGTTTGAAAATTGACTTGCTTATTTTTGGAGTTAAGAAGAGAAAGATCTGCAGTGGATAAATGAAGCATGTGGATGTGACAAAACTATGGGAAACTGGTTTCCTCTGTGTGTGTGTGTGTGTGTGTGTGTGTGTGTTATATGTTTTATTTTCACTTTCTCCCCTCCTACCGTAAACATTATGGTTGACTCTAGGGTGAAGAATCTCTTCTGGTGTGGGTAATGTTATTCTGAGAAGCCTTATACAAATAGCTAGTTGTTATTAGTTAATGTTTGTATCTTGAAGAAGATATCTGTGTGATATTTTAGTAGACAGCCAAAAATATTTTTGGAGCAAATATAATTAAATATGCCTCTAAAATTTAAAAAAAGTTGAAATTTTGCTAAGTTAGCTGAATTAAAAAGTTGAGGCTTGTCATCAAAATATACTTGGTTTTGATTTAGATGTTTCTGTTAAAGAACAACAAAACTAATTAGTTGAAGGATTTTACCTATCAAAGCATATACTCTACAAGTATAGTTGCATCTTTTTTTGTGTGTGTTGGAAAATAAATGAAAAGGATCTCTGGTGTCACTTTACCTCCTGGTGGTAAAGGAACCTGAGTGTCCTGTGCTTCAGGACTAATGTTTGTAGGAGTAATTGAGGGTTATCTCTGATCAATTTCATGGTGATTTTGGGTGACAGATTTTTATTTCAAAATCCACATCTTTATTTCTTAGTGTCCCTTGAAACACAAGGCTTTTATTATATAAAGAAAGCAATCCTATTTAGGCTACTGGTATTAGTTTGGAAAGAAGTTCACACCTTAAATATAGCTGACTTTTCACATCTTAATAGAATGATGTAAAGTTAACACTTCTGATTGTATTACCTAGCATCCTAATAAGGAACTGGGAAAAAAAACTTAAAAAGAGAGAATATCCAATAACAAGATTTAAAATTAGTATCTTTTATAGACTGTATATACAGTTGAGGCCTTATAGCCCAGACAGATAGTTTAGATCAGTTTATTTTAGAAGTTGGTAAACTATATTAAAGTAGACTCTATTTTTTACTTAAAACACACAGCCAGAATGGTGATGCATGCCTGTAATTCTAGCTTATCAGGAAGTTGAACCAGGAGAATTATGAATTTGAGGACCTCCTGGCAAAGGTAACAACAAGACCGTGCTTATAAACAACAACAACAAAAAATGGCTAGGGCATAATTCAAGTGGCAGGGTGCTAGCCGGGCGTTGGTGGCTCACGCCTGTAATCCTAGCTACTCAGGAGGCTGAGATCTGAGGATCGCGGTTCAAAGCCAGCCCGGGCAGGAGAGACCGTGAGACTCCTATCTCCAATAAACCACCAGAAAAAAACCAGAAGTGGCGCTGTAGCTCAAGTGGTAGAGCACTCGCCTTGAGCTGAAGAGCTGAGGGACAGTGCCCAGGCCCAGAGTTCAAGCCCCACGACCGACAAAAAAAAAAAAGTGGCAGGGTGCTTACTCAACAAGCAAAAGGCCCTCAATTCAATCTCTAATTTCACACACACACACACACACACAGATCTATTTGTTTACTAGTCTTTTCACATGATAGCCTTTGCTCAGTATCTCAAAAAGCCACTTATTATTTT